CTCTCCCACCTCCTCAGCAGCGCTAAGGATGTCTGACTGCAGCTTAGGCCTGCTCCCCACTGGCAAGTGGACATCACCCGAGGGCTCCCAGGCTGCCGGAGGGATGTCTGACTGCCAGCCTGGGTCCAATTCTCCGGGGAGTGGGCCTAAGCCAGCAGGTGGTCATCCCCCGAGGTGTCCCAGACTGTGAGAGGGTACAGGACGGGCTAAGGGACCCCCCTGAGTGCACAAATTTTTGTGCATCGGGCCTCTAGTCTATATAATAAAAGCCCAGTGACGATTATGGCAGAACGGCCAAAACGACCTGTCACTCTGATGCGCCAGCCACAGGGGCCACCCCAGTGTTGCTGCAGAGGCTGAGGGCCCTGGGGCCAGTTGCACACCACCACCAAGGTGTCGGTAAAGAAGAATGCAAAGGTGGCCAGTGTGAGCGTGAAGCTTGAGATGAAGGCTCTGTGGGACAAATTCAATCAGCTGGGCACCAAGATGATGATCGTCACCAAGGCTGGCAGGTCAGGCCGCCCCTCTCTGCTGTGACCCTCCCCATATGGCGCCAGTCTCAGGCAGCAGGTTTTGGCTACATCCACGTGATCGAGACTGAGAAGCGGCATGGGGGGCGCAGCCTGGTCACCTGCAAGCCAGTTCCTTCGCTTTCCCAGTTCCAGCTCTAGCGACAGCTGCCTGGCATGCCAGGCTGGAAGGTACTGCTCAGGGGTCAGGAAGGCGAGAAGAAACTCTGTGGACCTGCCACCCAACCAGAAGCCCAAGACCTGGCACCTCCAGAAATGGACCAGGTCACAGCACACTAAGCTTGGGGGGAAGGCAGCTGCCTGTGAGGGGCCTTGGCACCAGTCAGCTCCCTGCGGATCCCACCTCAAAGGAAACTCCATCTTTGACTCCTTAGTTCAGTCTATCCTGGCTAAAGAGGAGCAACTGGGCACATTTTAGGGGAGAAGTAAGACTCTAAAACAGTGTGTTCTGTTCTGTGGAAATTGCTACCCAGTTGTCTTAGGCCTAAATTCCAGGTGATTGTGAGGCCTGGCTCTGCCACTGGGGCCCGTGTCTTCCAATTGACCTGTATTTGTTGTAAGCGCCCAAAGAGAAAAGGAGAACAAGTTTTTCAATGCAATGGATTTGACCAACAGACAAAGGCGGGTGGTGGGCTGTGTCTAATGTACACACAGAGACACCAGCTCTGAGTCCGCCTGGCCAAAGGAAGCTCAGTCCCTGTTGGCAGAGCCCTCTGGTGGTTTCTGTTCCCTTACTGAGGCCCATGCT